AAAAATAATTTTAAGTACAATGTATTCTATGCCATATACTAAAATATTCATTTTTTATTAGAAATTTCAACTTAACTGGACATTCTATATTTTATCTAGCAATCCTTTATTAGGATATTAGATGTTTCTTAGATAGGCATAGATTTTCTCTTGATGTGGAAACATTCTGTAACACAAGATGAGCAAAGAATATCAGACATACTAAGTATAGAGAGTAGTTTCCTCCAAAAATGAGAGGTCTTTAACTAGAAAAAAATATTGTCAATTGTGTCTTGGTCTTCTTGAGCCTCAGTATATGGAGATAGAAAGGCTAGTATAAGACTGGTCACTTTTGGATGCATGTGTACCCCCAAACCCCCAAATAACCCACCTGAGCCTCTGCCCTGAAGGATCTCTTGTATGGAAACCAGGAGACATATGCAAGGACATTTATTGCAGTGTTTTGCAAGGATAAAAAATTGGAAACAGCTGGTTTGTCCATCAATGGGAAAAGAAATACAAACATATGGTCCATTCTTTGATTTTAAGTATAAGGGTAATGTGATAAATGTGTGGGCTCTGGATCCGGACAGCCTGGGTTCAAATTCCAGCTCTATGTTTATTACCTATGTAGCATTGCACAAGTTACTTAACTTCTCTGTGCTCCATTTGGATCATCTGTAAAATAACAATATTGTAAAATTTAAATAAAATATATAACGTAAAATGAATTATAACAAAAAATATAAAAATAATAAAGGTCTCCATAGGTTTGAGTGAAGGTACAGTGAATTAACACACATGAATTATTTAACACAATGATTGACACCTAGCTCACCTAGAAAACCAGGAAATGTTCAGTAAATATTAGCTTCTATCAGAATGAAATACTATATAATAGTAAAATAAATGAACAGAATAATATGGACAATTAAGTAGCATTTATGGAGACCAAAACAGACAAAATATCACTATGAATTATCTGATGCTTATATATGTAATGAATATGTGAAGGAATATATTGAATGACAAATACAAAATTGTGATGGTAGATGTCCTTGAGATGAGAAGGAAGAAGAGGTCTAGGGAATAGAATAAAGTTATTTTTAAAGTTGTAATTATTTTACTTAGAAAACATTAGGGAAAATCACAAAATATTAGTGTTTGCTAATTCTTGGTTTTTGGAGGTTTGTTATTATGTCCTCTGTAGTTTGCTGTATTTATTCAAACAAATTAAAAAGTAGACAGTGGATAGAGACAAAGACGTAGTCTATGGAAGTTCTTTGCTAAAATCTTACTTTTTATGTGAAACCTGCTGAATTCATGTGCAGATGTCATACTGATGATCTTTATCAAATAATTTAAGAGGTCTAACATTTATTGAAAGTCTAAAATATGCCAGGTGCATTTTAAACATGACCATGATGTGAAGTGGATTTGACTATTCCAACTTCAGAGATGCGGCTCAGAAGAGTAACTTGATTGTCAAGCTAGGGGTGCTAGAGCTGGGAATCATGTCTCTGTCTGCCTTACTTTAACACTTGTTCTCTTTTCATTCCTCTTAATGCTACTCAGTTCTACAAATATATCTCTATCCCGGTTATAATAGATTGTTAATATACTTTTAGAAATTTTATTCTCTTATATTTAGAACTGTTGAAATTGTATATGTTCTTCATGATTTAAATGTGTATATATTTCAGTTCTCTCTAAGCTATTAGCAAATTTTTCAAATGACCTGTCAGGTAATCAGGGGTAAGACACGTAATTTAAAGCATAGAGTGAGTGAGTAATTCATCTTAGCATTGAATTTGGGATTAGGATCTTTCCAGCATGTGGTATTTGAGTCTAAGAGCAATACCACAGGAAGTCCTATTTTTAAATAGGAAAAAAAAAATTGAACTGTATTCTTTTTTTTTCTTAAAGATTGGCACCTGGGCTAACAACTGTTGCCAATCTTTTTTTTTTTTTTTAAGGATTGGCACCTGGGCTAAGCGGAGCACGCGAACTTAACCACTCGGCCATGGAGCCGGCCCATGAACTGTATTCTATAGTTATATTTTCTACAAATGTTAAGTTAGTTGTAGTCTTCAGCGTTTGTTTCTGAGCTAGGTGCTTCGGGTATTGCAGAAAAATGTTCTGATTAATGAAGACTCTGTTTAGTATGTGACACAATCTATATGTGCACTGTATACAACCATAGAATGCAAAAAATGAGGCTTATTCTTGAGGTCTAGGTGCAGAATTTTAAAAATGTTTAAAAATGTTTTATTTAGATATAGGCAGAGTTTCCATTCGTTATCACATACAAAGCACACACCTATAAAATTTAATGTTGACAACAAAATAAATTTATCATATTTCATAAACAGATTCTAAATGCATAATCTTCAGATAGAATAGAATAGGAGATGATGATGAAATGCATCTAAATCTGTAGTGTTTAAGATGGGGGGAACTACTTATATAATTATTTGAGAAAAAGGAAAAGAAAAAGACAGCAATGTCTAATCCCTTGGTTGGTTTCGAATGATGGAGATAAATTGAAATTAATAATGTAGTGAGTAATGGATAATGTTTTCTCACATGCATTATTTTGGAGTGCTTTCCAAAAAGCTTGTAACAGTGAGTTAAACTTTTAGAATAGGACAGTTCCAAGAAGAACTGAAAAGATAAGTAAATTTTAGCGTAGTGAATTTGTTTTATATTTTTAAAAGTGTCACATTCTCTCCTCAAATAAAATTCTAAGAGATACCTTTGAGATGTTTCTTTTTCTAGGCTTACTTTTTAGTGAAAAAAATGATGGGATTTCTTTTATAATACAGTGCCTAAAATATTTTCAAGGGACTTGAAGTTGTTAGACAAGTATGATTTACTTTTTAATCTACATTAAAACCTATGTTTATACATGAGTAGTGTAAATGTGAGTGAGCCAAATAACATTGTTTGTGTAAAAAGTACAGGCATACCTTGGAGATACTGTGGTTTGGTTCCAAACCACCACAATAAAGTGAATATTGCAATAAAGTGAGGCACAGAATACTTTTGGTTTCCCAGTTCATATAAAAATTATGTTTACACTATACTGTAGTCTAGTAAGTGTGCAATAACATTATGTTTTTTAAAACAATGTACATATCTTAATTAAGAATACTTTATTGCTAAAAAATGCTAACCATCATCTGAGCCTTCAGCAAGTCATAATCTTTCTGCTGGTGGAGGATCTCACCTCAATGTTGATGGCTGCTGACTGATCAGGGTGGTGGTTACTGAAGGTTGGGGCAGCTGCGGCAATTTCTAAAAATAAGACAACAATGTAGTTTGCTGCATCAGTTGACGCTTCCTTTCTCAATCGATTTCTGTGTAGTATGTGATGCTGTTTGATAGCATTTTACTCATAGTAGAACTTCCTTTAAAATTAGAGTCAGTCCTCTCAAATCCTGCCTCTGCTTTATCCACTAAGTTTAAGTAATATTCTAAATCCTTTGTTGTCATTTCAACAGTCTTAACGAGGAGAAGATTCTCTCTCAAGAAACCACTTTCTTTGCTCATCCGTAAGAAGCAACTCCCTATCTGTCAAGGTTTTATCATGAGATTGCAGCAAATTGGTCACATTTCCAAGCTCCACTTCTAGTTCTCTTAATGTTTCTACCACATCTGCAATTACTTCATCCACTGAAGTCTTGAACCTCTCAAAATCACCCATGAGGGTTGGAATCAACTTCCAAACTCCTGTTAATATGGCTATTTTGACCTCTTTCCATGAACTGTGAATGTTCTTAATGGTATCTAGAATGGTGAATCCTTTCCAGAGGGTTTTAAATTGACTTGGCCTAGACCCATCAGAAGAATCACTGTCTATGGCAGCTATAGCCTTACAAAATGTATTCCTTAAGTAATGAGACTTGAAAATCAAAATTACTCCTTGGCCATGGACTGCAGAATGGATGTTGTGTTAGCAGGCATGAAAATATTAATCTCATTGTACATCTCCATCGAAGCTCTTGGGTTACCAGGTGCATTGTCAATGAGCAGTAATATTTTGAACAGAATCTTTTCTTCTGAGAAGTAGGTCTCAAAAGTGGGCTTAGAATATTCAGTAAACCATGTTGTAAACAGATGTGCTGTCATCCAGGCCTTGTTCCGTTTATAGAGCACACGCAGAGCAGATTTAGTATAATTCTTAAGGGCCCTAGGATTTTTGGAACGGTAAATGAGCATTGGTTTCAATTTAAAGTCACCAGCTTCATTAGTCTCTAACAAGAGAGTCAGCTTGTCCTTTGAAACTTTGAAGCTTGACGTTGACTTTCCCTCGCTAGCTATGAAAGTCCTAGATGACATCTTCCAACATAAGACTCTTTCTTCTATGTTGAAAATCTGTTTAGTGTAGCCACCTTCATTAATGATCTCAGCTAGATCTTCTGGATAACTTGCTGCAGCTTCTCCATCAGCACTTGCTGCTTCACTTTGCACTTTTATGTTATGGAGATGGCTTCTTTCTTTAGACCTCATGAACCAACCTCTGCTAGCTGCAAACTTTTCTTCTGCAGCTTCCTCTCCTCTCTCAGCCTTCATAGAACTAAAGAGAATTAGGGCCTTGTTCTGAATTAGGCTTTGGCTTAAGGGAATATTGTGGCTGGTTTGATCTTCTATCCAGATCACTAAAACTTTCTCTTTACCAGCAATAAGGCTGTTTCACTTCTTGTCATTCATGTGTTCATTGGAGTAGCACTTTTAATTTACTTCAAGAACTTTTCTTTTGCATTCACAACTCAGCTGACCTGTTTGGTGCAAGAGGCCCAGCTTTTGGCTTATCTTGGCTTTTGACATGCCTTCCTCACTAAGCTTATCCATTTCTAGCTTTTGATTTAATGTGAGAGACATCTGACTTTTCCTTTCACTTGAACACTGAGAGGCCATTGTGGGGTTATTAATTGGCCTAATTTCAATATTGTATCTCAGGGGAAAGAGAGACCCAAGGAGTGGGAGAGAGATGGGAGAATGGTCAGTCAGTGGAGCAGTCGGAACACACACAACATTTATTGATTAAGTTTTCCACCTTATATGGGCATGGTTCATGGTGCCCCAAAACAATTACAATGGTAACATCAAAGATCACTGATCGCAGATGACCATGACAAATATAATAACAATGAAATTTTGAAATATTGTGAGAACTACCAAAATGTGACACAGAGACATGAAATGAAGAAGTACTGTTGGAAAAATGGTGCTTATAGGTTTGCTCCATGCAGGATTGCTACAAACCTTCAGTTTGTGAAAAATGCAAACATCAGCAAAGCGCAATAAAGTGAAGCATAAATAAAATGAGGTATGCCTCTAAAAGAATGATTATGTGCCACTTATAAATACTTTAAAAAAATTTTTTTACATGAGTGAAAATCCCGCATCATTCCAGACTCATAGTACATGATAGTTGTAGATTAGCTAAATTAAAGTAAATTACTCGTTGACAGCTTTTTAAGAAAATTATTTAATCTAATGTTTAGTTTATACATCATTATAACTGAAAGAATGGGATTAAACTTAATTCTGATAAATTACTTACATAAAACTCACAAAGTTCAATATCAAATTATTAAATAGATTGAATGAAAAGTAAAATAAAATATTAGCACATGTGTATTGTTTGATGTGAAGAAAATTGGCAATTATCTATCAATTTATTTCATTTCTTACAATCTGTCAAAAAATAGTTTCTTATAATTCACTTGAAGTACAAGAAAACTCAGTGATGAAAGTTTTCATTTATCTGAAGTTATTTAGTATAGCTTTAAAAGTGAAATTATGGCTAGTTGCCCTAAAAATAATGAGATGAAAATAAAATTTAAAAAAACACCTGGGTAAGAGTTAACTAATTGGGGACTGTTTAGTCCCCATTTTTCTTTACATTATCCTTATGCATTTCTAAATTTTGATTTGAAAAGTCAGAGATAATATCCTTACACAGTAAAAGTAAGGAAGGAAAAGTAAAATTTTCCATTGTTTATTTGTATAAACTATTTTAAAATACCATTTAAATATAATTTATACTTTATTTCTGTGAGAAATCATTAACCATTAGTTTTCCCTTCTACAATTATCACTTTTTCTTTTGTAAAGTTTATTAATGTTAAAATATAGTGTAGATCATTACATATGAATATTTGTATTATATCTGCTGTTCATCTGCCTTCATATCCATGAATGACTATTAATATACTAAGAGAAAACAATAGAACACTGAAAAATATAATCCTTTTCCATTTGATTCCAATCTATAACTTCAAAATGATAGTAGCTGAAGAAAATGGCCCCTGTCTCTTAATGACCAATACCAAATTAAATTAATGCTAACTAGAAAATATTACATAGACTGTATCCTTATACTTTAAATATACATTATATTAAAACGACAGTTTTTGCATAGAATTTTTGGTACTATGCAAGTTCAATATACAATGTTTTAATATGTTCAATTACAACACAAATAATGATATAATTTCTGTACCAGAGCATAAAGTATGTATGCAAAATTGCATAAAATAAAAATTTTAAAGTAAAATTATGGATGAAAATGCAAGAAACCTAAAGTCAATGAGAAGTAAAAATAAAATTATGTGACCATAACATTTCGCATAATCTTGATTATCTTCACAAATTTTCTGCAAAATCCCCAGTAGAAAAATTTATGAGGGCAGGCATTTTATCTGTCTTTTAATTCCTTACTATATCTCCAGCGTCTAGTACAGAACTGACCCATAGCAGACACTCAATAAGTGTTTGTTAATGAATAAAAGAAATATACCAATTAGAGCTTTTCTAATCTTATATCTGTTCAAATTCATACATACAAAATGGCTTTAAGTTTAGACAGAGAGCGCACAGGAGAATAGTTTTTAAAATCTTCATATACCTATTGGTAGACTGGTTTTATAAAATTTTGAGAAAGTTTAATGATTCTCTTTGCGTGAAACTATATGTTTTAGATTTATTAATTGTTTTGCTTAAAAACTTCCTGAGCATAGTTAAAAGAAGGATCAATTTTTTTAAACTTGTCCATCTATTTTGACTGTGTGAAACTGTACAATGTATGCCTCAATTGGGAGGGTCCTTTAATAGATGCTTGGTAGTGAAGCATTATCATTTAATTTAATGAAATTATAGTGTGGGCTAGTAAGTAACCTATTTAATTAAAATTCTAAATTAATTCCATTAATGAAATATATCTGTGCACAGTGTCCCTGTACTTATTCTATGATGGTTCGTTATCATTCTTTTACCAGCTTTGTGAATTATTGAATTTGGCTAATTAAATTTCATGTTATGAAGTATACTAGTAAGTATAGAGAACATTGCATCTTCTTTTTTCAGAGATAATTTCTTGATTATTTGTTTAGAGCCTGCTTAGCAAATACACAAGCATCACAAAATTTTGTTTGCTTTCAGAAACAAACATTCAACACAATCAAAATATAACCTAGAAAATGAATTTCAATCAAAGAGCTTGATTCATATTGCGATAAAATCTAACTGACCTCTAATTCACTGTCTGTTCCTTTTAATGGAATACAAATTTATTACCAGAAGATCAGGGACCACATTAACAACTATACTCATTACTGTGATAATAACCCAAAAGTGTGATTTGCAAGGAAAAGTGGAGTGTAGGTGGAAAATATTCCTGGATAATGTCTCTTCACAGTGATTAGGATTGCAATTTAGTATCTTTATATTAATTTCAGGAATTCTAAATGGAGAACTTTTAACATTTAAAAATAGTTTTCTCTTAATTTTGCTCTTTTGCAAGTCTCTAAAATATGTACAGCAGATCACAAATTCAGAAGATTTTCAATTCATTCTAAAACAGCCTTTTCAGTATTTTTATTCCTGATATTCTCTCATCAGAGTGTAGGGAAAAATCAGCATAAAGTTAGAATGAGCTGATGCTGATGTGTTATGGGTTCTCTCTCATCAATTAACTCTTATGCATAATGGTTCAAACAGTCACCATTCTCTACTAATTATGGTTTAGGAATAAATTTCCCCTTCTAAGCCTACGTTTGAACTAAGATTCTAATGGTTGTACCTTATAAGTCATGAAAACAATAGAATAAAATAAAATAAATCTAACTGAGGAAATTCAAGTAAATATTGCCATTTAATATCAAAATGATATACAATGGACACTTTTAAACCTTTGCATTAAAGAGGAAGTTGCAGAAAGGATCATTTAGTTCAATTGTACTGATGGTGTTTTTTGAGTTTGCCAGATAGCTGTTGGTTTTGAACATTCATTTTATTTCTGTCTTACATCCATTTTGTGCTAAGTGAACAGTATTTTCAACTGCACTAATATATCAAAGTTATTGATTCTTTCAAAGTGAGTTGCATAAATGTTTCACTTCAAAGCATTTTAATACATACATAATACTTCTCAGTCTCCACGTCATGAATAACTAGTGATCTTTATGGTGCTTGCTCCCATATTGCTTTCACTTCACAATTAGGTGCAATTCCAGAGGGGGCTCCTGTGAGTGTGTATGGCCCAATTTTTGGGAAATATACACACAATTAAAGTCAGGGCTACGTCTCTGTCATCCAACGTATAGAGAGATGCATTAAAACTAACAAAGCGATAAAAGGCGCCTGAAATTGAAGCAGTTTAAGAAATGACAGTTTAATGAAAGCAGTGTAAAAATACTATCACTCTGATGGAAAACATCTGTCCTCCACGAATCTTGAATGATGGAAGGTTGTGCGGCTCTTGAGGCATGTGTTGCCAGCCTATGGTTATATCAACAGCAGGTCAGACGTGGCCTGTCTCCTTTAATATCATAGTTATGACTGTCCAAATATATACCATTCCAGCCAATACTTTGTCTTCAGCATTGCAATACGTTGCTTTCAAGTCCATTTCTTTTCACTGTTTGTTGGGCCTTTTCAATGGAGTGTGGGACTAACGCTGCTGAACTATAAGGAGGAAGAAAACAAATATATCATTGAAAGCAGTTTGTAAAGCAAAAAAAAGTTTATAAATATTATAATCTAGTTATTACAATAATCAAAAAGAGACATGTTCTGCTACTCTGCTTTAAGATTTTATTAAATTATGGTTGGAATCAACTATTCCTGATTTCTTTTTTTTTATTGTCACAGTCTTCACCCTCCCCACCATCAAATCATTTTCTCTGGATAGCAAAAATTTCTATGGGCAGGTAAAGGTTTACAACAGTGCCTTAAAGATCATCATTGTGTGATGAGAGGGTTAATATGTTTCTCCATGGCACCTGAATTACTACACAGACTTTCACAAGAACGAGAAGAAAAGTTTATTTACATTCCAAATTGGCACTAAACAAGTGGATTAGTCTCATGCCCCAAATCTGGAAGAAAATGGAAGCTAATAACTTTCATTTAAAATTCATTATTCTTTTCCTTGTCTCTCATTCATCAACAAGTAATTTTTGAAATGAAATTTTGCAGGTGAAAAGCCTATAATGTGGAGTAAATAATTTCCCTGGAGATAAGAAAAAAAAAATGAATTGCTTCTCACCTGCAAAAGTAGTTAATCTAGGTGCTATTCAGACATGCTAAATGTTTAAATGGGAGTTTAAAATAAATGTGAAAATTTTAGTTCTTCAAGTTCATCTCTCCATTTATTCCATTGATGGAAATGTTTTTCCATTTATTTTCCCCTAGGATGAATTTATTAGATCTATCATGGAAATTTTAATCATTTATTCAGTCTTATCTACGACATATCCAGAATTACATTCCACTAAGTGTTTCTGAGTTCGGGGGTGGAATGGAGCAGTACAGGAATATACAAGTGTAGTTGCTATGTACAAAATATGACTTCCCTCTTTGTGTGTCTCTTAGTACTTATTTTTTTTAGCAGAGCATAAAAACTGGTACTATAATTTGCATGGGTTTAGGGTATTAGTCTCTGTTCTGTGATCCACACTTCAGTGTTATCACAGCAAAACCTTCCCTATGCAGGTCCTAGCAAGCCTACAAGGTGCCCGGATAACTGGGCTATCCATAGACTGCACCAAATCTTTTCTAGTTCCCTCAGGAACCCTCATATTTGTGAAAGCTTTATTCCAGAGAGGAGTTCACTGGAGTTTTCTAGATTATATACAATAGTGATTTACACATTGAAATTGTTTGATGAAATAGTTATTTGGAGACTTCTCAATATTCTTTTGTAGTAAAAATGATTTTTGTATAACTCACTATCCTTACAATAAGTGTACTAACCCAAGTGTGAAACTAGGTCAAATTTCTTATCTACACATTTTAATTAACTTCTGTAATCCTTCCCAATCCTATATTTTCCAAACCAAATCTAGCTTAATATTGAGGTACAAATTACCCTTCGTATTTAGGAGAGAAGATTCTATGCAAAGTTTAAATAGAAAAATATATAATAATTTTTTCTGACACACACTATTAAAGTAATTTTTTATCCATTACTCTTCCATTTCCAATGATATTTGAATTTTCATGATGTATCAGGAAGGAAAACTTAACTAGATGCTAAATATCTTTAACAATGCTCTTTAATATCTGACTTTTCGGTCAGGGCGGTTTGTAGTATTTGTCAATTCAAGTAAAACGAATTTTCTGAAAGCATGTCAATCAGTAATAGAATATATTCAGTTTATAAATAAGCTATTAGTTTTATAAAGCTCTATTTAAACATAAATTGTAGTAAAGAAAAATCTAAGAACTGGTCAATAAGTGATATGTTACGGATGCCATTTCAGTATGATAATACTAAATATAAAAAATGATAGTTAAATATATCCTAAAATCCTATTATTCTATCTCTGCTTCCATTATATTAAGATTTCCATCGAAATTATTCTTATATATTTCATTTCTCTTACGTCTCTGAGTAAAATTTTCGGTTCTTTCTTCTGCTGGTAAAATGTTGTGAGGCGATCTGCCACCTGACCTTACCATTTAGCATTCCCTTTTACATAATTAAAGATTCAAAATTTCAAGCAAACTCAATATATCATTTTTCCTTCTAAGAACCTGTGGTTTAGATTTAGACTTTTCACTAATGTTGGTCTCCTCTGTGACAATCTCTCTTTGAGTCTTCTTTCCATAGGCTGGAAAATAGAGAAGTGTTTTACACAAATCCCCTGTCTTCACACAGAGGGAGTATTGGCATAGAGTGTGTAGTTTTAGTTCAATACACCTGGCTTAGAATCCTAGCTCTCGCCATGGTGTGAGGGCAGGGTCTAATATTCAGTAGATTCTCATTAGTTTCAATTCTTTTACTCCACCACATCCACTTTATCCCCTTTCATTATTTGCAGGGTTAAGATAAAGTCTTAGAGAGGTCCACGTATAACAAATAATCCATCATGGCATTGAGATTTCACCACAGTCAGAATAAAAAACTCAAAGGCATGACCAATGCAAATTTAATTTTCACTGTATCATTAATACAAGCAAAAAGAAGTATCGCTTTCCACTTCCTATTTTGTTTTGTAACCCTAAAAGTTACAATATTTGGTTAATATTTGAAGTTTCAGCCGTTACGCTAACAGTCATAGTAATAGCCTGCTTCTTAAGGTTATTATGGTATTAACTTTCACAGTCCTCTCTGAGACCACTGACTAAGTACACAATTTCCTGTGCATTATTATGCTTTGTTTGCAAGGGCCAGATGCTCTATGGGGCATCCTCTGCTTAACCTAGGGAGATTAAGACAGTGAACATCACATTGCATATTGCCAATCTAGAATCACTTAGACCCATCAATTATTTACAGCAAACACACACAGAAACATACCCACGTGAGATTCTAAAGCAGAAGCTCTCATCAACTTGAGTTGCCTTCCAGTATACTCCCTGAAGCAAAGACAGGAGCCCAAATACAGGGAAGGAAAAGCACATTAGGCCCCTGAAAGGCCATAATAACAGTTGCAAGGACATTTGAATTTGTTTAAATTAGTGTTTAAATCTTTCACGATAATGTTTTAAACTCCAGTTTTTTGTTTGTTTTTTTAAAGATCGGCACCTGAGCTAACAACTGTTGCCAATCTTTTTTCTTTTTTTTCCTGCTTTATCTCCCCAAATCCCCCTGGTATATAGTTGTATATATTAGTTGCACGTCCTTCTAGTTGTGGCATGTGGGACGCTGCCTCAACGTGGCCTGACAAGCAGTGCCACGTCCGCACCCAGAATCCGTACCGGTGAAACCCTAGGCCGCCACAGCAGAGCACGCAGACTTAACCGCTTGGCCACCGGGCCAGCCCCTAAACCCCAGTTTTAAAAGTAACTTCTAAGTCATATTTCACAACAAATAATCATGTTACTAACATTACCAGCCATCCAAAGAAAAGTGTGAATAGAAATTAAATTAAAAATACAGGTTAGAATAATTTCTGTTGCATTTGGACCTTAAACTAAGGTATTTTACTGCTGAGAAATTATTTTTAATGCTTGTGCTTACTATTGGGGAACAATTACTATGGTTTTAAATTTATGGGACTTTTTTAAAATTTCACTCTCTATATAGATTCTTTAAAAACAAAAATATGACAGCACACAGTTCCTGATATTATATTTTTTCTTTCAATAAATTATTTAACAGCATCCAGTCATGAAACATTATGTTATCCTTTCCAGTTCCTTTAAACAAAGTCAAATAAACCTGGAGATTTTAGTGACTAGAAGGAAATTTTAGTCAATTATTCGAACCAATCCCACATATTATGGCAGGAAAATGTTGCTTATTAAAGATACATTAGATTCCTTCTTAATCTATCTGGTTACATTTTCCTAAATAATTAATAGCCCCACACTGTTTTGGAGGTTTGTAAGTCCCTCTTAATCAATTATCCTCTTTACATGTAGTTATCTATTATTTTTGGAGCTTTTCCTCCACCCTGGAAAATATTATGGCATCTGGTGCATAACCATTCCATGAACAACCTGGATTAAACTCCACATCTCTCGAGCCAATAGCTGTTTGTCTTGTCAAAATTTCAGATTTTCTCTAACCAATATAATTCTATGTAAATGTTACTACTCTCATTCAAAATCTAATTTTAAGTGCATTTTAAGCCACATGATTTATTTGTTTTTTGGTCTACTTCTCAGCCTTGGCATTGTGTAAAGGAGTAAAGCACCTCACAAAAGCTACATGATTAAATGCTTGCAACCAATTTGTTGGTGTGGAGTTCATGCGTTTTTCATACTCAGGCTTTACTTTGTAGGACTGTTACGTTTCTGTAAACATAGTGGTTATTTACAGGTGAGATGCACCATTATCAAAATTTGGTTATCTTACCACCTAGTGATTTTACCTAATCATTCATAAAAATACACTTGAGTCACACTCTTGAATGCATTCTGCCAAAGGAGAAAATTCACTTTCTATATTAGAGAGAGAAAGCAGAGTGTGAAATACAGCTATATCTCCCTCTTCCTATTACTCAACTCCGTAGCACAAGCATTGGACTGAGATCAGAAAAAGATAGAGTTACTGTTCTTTCAGACTGGGTCTGTGTGTGTGTCTGAACACACATGCGCCTATAAAACTAGTCTTTCTCTGTAGAAGAATGTATTTGTTTCAGCATTTTTGATAGTATTTCATAAACGTTTACCAGGTATCAAATTTAAGTAGTCAAAAAAAATTTGGTGTTACTCATTTGATTTGGTTTAATAAATCAGTTTGGGCCTGCCTGTTTGAGAGGAAAAGAGAATAAGCACAAGAGTGAGAACTAGAGTGAGAGTCAGAGGGAAAGAGAAAGAGAGAATAAGTAACTGTGCGCAAAACATTTACACTGAAACTGGGTATAATTTTTTATGTGCAATAGAATGTAAAAATTGTCTCAGTGATATTATTGCATATTCCATCTAGAAATATTTTTAATGAATGATGCAGTTAAAAATATCTTTGGGCAAAAGACCCAGAACACCCAACATAATATTGAAGTAGAAGAACAAAAATGAAGGATTGACTCTACGCAACTTCAAGACTTACTATCAAGCTACAGAAATTAAGACAGTGTGATACTGATGAAAGAACAGACAAACAGATCAATGGAACAGAATAGAGAGCCCAGAACTAAACTCACATAAATATAGTCAATTGATCTTTGACAAAGATGCAAATGCAAAGATAGTCTCTTCAACAAATGGAGATGGCAGACCTGGACATTCACATGCAAGAAAAAAAATGAATCTAGATGCAGACCTTACACCCTTCACAAAAATTAACTCAAAACGGATTGTAGATCTAAATAGAAAATGCAGAACTATATAACTCCTACAAGGTAACATAGGAGAAAGCCTAGATGACCTTGGGTATGATGATGAGTTTTTGAATACAATCCCAAAGACACAATTCATGAAAAAAGAATTGGTAAGCTGGACTTCATTAAAATTTAAAAAACGTTCTGCTCTGCAAAAGACAATGTTAAGAGAAAAAAAGGAGAAGGGGTGGAGCAAAATGGCGGGGTGAGCTGACCCGGGATTCTCTCCCCTCCAAAATACAACAAAGGATTGGAAAAACTGAATTTCAGAGAATAAATCTAATGCCAACACGTTAGAGACCTACAATACCAAGAAGGCAGAGAACATAAACCTTGCTCATGACCTTGGAGGTGCTGGAATGGGTAGGAGAGAACGTGCTCCCTCCCCTAGAGTCTGCGATCCCTGCTGCGCAGTCCGGGAAGGAGCGGGGGAGGGGCCGCAAGACTGGGGGATCATCCAGGACTCCTGCCGCTTGTTCAGTGGAAACCCCCTAACGGGGGAAAGCTTCTGTGCGCCGAGACGCCATAAACCCAGGGCCTCGGGAGACCAGAGAACAAAACTGACCTGAATCCAGATCGGCACCTGAGAATAGCAGCCCCTCCCTGACGGAGAAGTGCACCGGGAGCCGCCATCTTGCCCGAAGGCGGAGAGCGCAGAACACGTGGCTCTCGACCCCCATCTAGTGGCGACAGGCTGTAACTGCAACCGAATTCTACCACCATGTGAAAAAACTGCTCCTCTACCATCCAGCAATTTATAAAAGCCCCAGACCAGAAGGAAAACAATAAAAACATAGAATTAAGTCCTGAGGACTTGGAATTAGGTAAACTAAGTGATAATGAGTTCAGAGCAGCTATAATCAAAAAACTCAATGAGATAGAGAGAAAGATAGAGAAACAAGCCAATGAGTTCTGGAGTTACTTCACTAAAGAGATTGAAATTATAAAGTAGAATCAAACAGAATTACTAGAGATGAAAAATACAATGGACCAGATAAAACAGAATACAGATTCCCTGAATGCCCGTGTAGACACCATAGAAGAGCAAATTAACATAAGTGAAGACAGACAGGCTGAATGCTCCAGACAGAGGAAGAAAGAGAACTAAGAATTTAAAAAAGTGAGGAAAATCTCTGAGAGATAGTGGATTCAATGAGGAGTAAGAACTTAAGGATCATAGGAATTCCCGAGAACATGGAAAAGGAAAATGGAGCAGAAAGTGTGCTTAACAAAATTATTGAAGAGAACTTCCCAAATCTAGGGATTGACGGAGAAATGTGTGTAGAAGCAGCTTTCAGATCTCCTAGATTTGTCAATGTAAAAAGACCTACTGCAAGGCACATAGTAGTACAATTGGAAAGAAGGAAAGATAAAGAAAGAATACTCAGGGAAGTAAGAAAAAAGAAGAGAATAACCTACAAAGGAACTCCTATCAGACTTTCAGTGGATTTCTCTACAGAAACCTTAGAAGCTAGGAGAGAGTGGAGTGACATATTCAAAGCTTTAAAAGATAAAAATCTTCAGCCAAGAATACTCTATCCAGCAAGAATTTCCTTCAGCAGTGAGGGAGAAATTAAATCTTTTCCAGACAAGCAAAAGTTAAGGTAATTTGTAACTAAAAGCCCTCCACTACAAGAAATCCTTAAGAAGGCTCTAGTACCTGAAAAAAGAAAAAAGGGAGAAAGGGGTCACAATCCACAGACTAGGGAGACTGATGGATAGAACCAGAACAGGATAGCAAATATTCAACTATAGCATTAGGGTAAAGGTAAGGAAACTACCAAAGCAAGGACGATCTTATCACTCTAACTACAAATTCATAACACGAGTTGGAATAAGAAATGAAAATAATTATTTAGGAGGGGAAGAGCAAAGGGTCTAAATCAGTATTGGCCAAGTAAGTAAGAGACCACCAGAGAATAGACTATATTATACACAAGATTCTAAATACAAACTTCAGGGTAGACACTAAAATAAAATACAGAACAGAGTCACAAATCATAAATAAGGAAAAATCTAAGATACCCAGCATAAGAAATTGCAGTATTAAATGGGTAGGCTAAAGCACACAGGAAAAGAAATGCAGGAAAACAAGATAATGAGTGACAGATTGACAATATTAAGTCCACATGCATCAATAATCACTCTCAATGTAAATGGATTGAACGCTCCAATAAAAAGACACAGAGTGGCAAAATGGATTAAAGAACAAGATCCAACAATTTGTCGCCTCCGGGAAACACACCTCAGCCCCAAGGACAAACACAGGCTCAGAGTGAAGGGGTGGAGGACAATACTTCAAGCTAATAGCAAGCAAAAAAAGGCAAGTGTTGCAATTCTTATATCAGACAAAATAAGACAGGTAAAGAGAGACACAGAGGGACAATATATGATGATCAAAGGGACACTTCATCAAGAAGAAATAATGCTTATAAATCTCTATGCACCCAACACAGGAGCACCACGATTCATAAAGCAACTATTAACAGACCTAAAGGAAGATGTCAAAAACAACACAATAATAGTAGGAGACCTCAACACCCCACTCACATCAATGGACAGATCATCCAGACAGAAAATCAACAAGGAAATAGTGGAGCTAAATGAAAAACTAAAACAATTGGACTTAATAGACATATATAGATCACTCCACCCTGAAAGAGCTGAATACACCTTCTTCTCAAGTGCACATGGAACATTCTCAAGTATAGACCATATGTTGGGAAACAAGGCAAGCCTCTACAAATTTAAAAAAAATTGAAATAATAACAAGCATCTTCTCTGATCATAATGCTATAAGGCTAGAAATTAATTACAAGAAAAAAGCTGAAAAAGGCACAAAGATGTGGAGACTAAACAACACACTACTGAACAAGCAATGGATCATTGAAGAAATTAAAGAAGAAATAAAAAAATACCAGGAAACAAATGAAAATGATAGCATGCCATACCAACTCATATGGGATACAGCAAAAGCTGTATTAAGAGGAAAATTCATCGCAATACAGGCACATCTTAACAAACAAGAAAAATCCCAAATAAGCAATCTTAAACTACACCTAACTGAACTAGAGAAAAAAGAACAAATAAAGCCCAAAGTCAGCAGAAGGAGAGAAATAATAAAAATCAAAGCAGAAATAAATACTACTGAAACGAAAAAGGCAGTAGAAAGGATCAATGAAACAAAGAGCTGTTTTTTTGAGAAGATAAATAAAATTGACAAACCACTAGCCAGACTTACAAAGAAGAAAAGGGAGAAAGCTCAAATAAACAAAATCAGAAACGAAAGAGGAGAAATAACAACAGACTCTGCAGAAATACAACTGATTATAAGAGAATACTATGAAAAACTATATGCCAACAGAATGGATAACCTAGAGGAAATGGATAAATTCTTGGACTCCTACAATCTCCCAAAGCTCACTCAAGAAGAGGCAGACAATTTGAACAACCAATCACAAGGAAAGAGATTGAAACAGCAATCAAGAACATCCCAAAGAATAAAACCCCAGGACCAGATGGCTTTCCTGGGGAATTCTACCAAACTTTCAGAGAGGATTTAATACCTATCATTTTCAAGCTATTCCAAAAAATTAGGGAAGATGGAACACTTCCTAACACATTCTATGAGGCCAACATCACGCTGATACCAAAACCTGACAAGGACACCACGAAAAAAGAGAACTACAGGCCAATATCACTGATGAACATAGATGCAAAAATTCTAAACAAAATTTTGGCCACCAGAATTCAGCAATTCATCAAAAGTATCATACATCATGATCAGGTGGGATTCATACCAGGGACACAGGGATGGTTCAACATCCACAAATCAATCAACGTGATACACCACATCAACGAACTGAGGAATAAAAACCACATGATAATTTCAATAGATGCAGAGAAGGCATTTGACAAGCTCCAACACCCATTTATGATAAAAACTCTGAACAAAATGGGCATAGAAGGAAACTACCTCAACATAATAAAGGCCGTATATGACAAACCCATAGCCAACATCATACTCAATGGGCAAAAACTGAACGCCATCCCCCTGAAAACAGGAATGAGACAAGGATGCCCTCTATCACCACTCTTATTTAACATAGTACTGGGGGTCCTGGCCAGCGCAATCAGGCAAGAAAAAGGAATAAAAGGAATCCAAATAGGGAGGGAAGAAGTGAAACTCTCGCTGTTTGCAGATGACATGATCTTATATATATAGAAAACCCCAAAGAATCCATTGGAAAACTCTTAGAAGTAATCAACAACTACAGCAAAGTTGCAGGGTACAAAATCAATTTGCATAAATCAGTAGCATTTCTATACTCTAATAACGAACTAACAGAAAAAGAACTCAAGAACACAATAGCATTCACAATCACAACAAAAAGAATAAAATACCTTGGGGTAAATTTAACTAAGGAAGTGAAGGACCTATATAATGAAAATTACAAGGCCTTTCTGAGAGAATTGGATGACGACATAAGGAGATGGAAAGACATTCCATGTACATGGATTGGAAGAATAAACATAGTTAGAATGTCCGTTCTACCTAAAGCAATCTACAGATTTAACGCCATCCCAATCAGAATCCCAATGACATTCTTTACAGAGTTAGAACAAAGAATCCTAAAATTCATACGGGGCAACAAAAGACCCCGAATTGCTAAAGCAATCCTGAGAAAAAAGAACAAAATGGAAGCCATCACAATCCCTGACTTCAAAACTTGCTACAAAGCTACAGTAATCAAAACAGCATGGTACTAGTACAAAAACAGGTGCACAGATCAATGGAACAGAATTGAAAGCCCAGAAGTAAAACCACACATCTATGGACAGCTTATCATCCACAAAGGAGCTGAGGGCATGCAATGGAGAAAAGAAAGTCTTTTCAACAAATGGTGCTGGGAAAACTGGAAAGCCTCATGTAAAAGAATGAAAATTGACCATTCTTTTTCACCATTCACCAAAATAAACTCAAAATGGATTAAAGACCTAAAGGTGAGACCTGAAACCATAAGGCTTCTGGAAGAAAACGTAGGCAGTACACTCTTTAGCATCAGTATTAAAAGGATCTTTTCAGACACCATGCCTTCTCAGAGAAGGGAAACAATAGAAAGAATAAACAAATGGGACTTCATCAGACTAAAGAGCTTCTTCAAGGCAAATGAAAACAGGATTGAAACAAAAAAAACAACCCACTAACTGGGAAAAATATTTGCAAGTCATATATCTGACAAAGGCTTAATATCCATAATATATAAAGAACTCTCACAACTCAACAACAAAAAATCAAACAACCCAATCAAAAAATGGGCTGGAGACATGAACAGACATTTCTCCAAAGAAGATATACGGATGGCCAATAGGCACATGAAAAGATGCTCATCATCGTTGATCATCAGGGAAATGCAAATCAAAACTACACTAAGATATCACCTTACACCCATTAGAATGACAGAAATATCTAAAACTATTAGTAAAAAATGTTGGAGAGGTTGTGGAGAAAAAGGAACCCTCATACGCTGCTGGTAGGAATGCAAACTGGTGCAGCCACTATAGAAAACAGTATGGAGATGCGTCAAAAAATTAAAAATAGAACTACCATACGATCCAGCCATCCCGCTACTGGGTATTTATCCAAAGAGCTTGAAGTCAGAAATCCCAAAAGTCCTATGCACCCCAATGTTCATTGAAG